TGGGGGGTGGGGTGAGAATGAGAGATGGAAAGGAGACAGAATGAAAGAGAATAATTGTACATGTATTAATAGGAAAAATAGGGCGGGGGCAAGGGGAAAGACCTAAAAAAAAGACTTGTTTTTTTTATTTTGAGTCAAGGTCCAACTCTTCATTAACAACATTCACTCAACTCAGTCTAGTAACACAACAAACAAACAAACAAACAAATAAACAAACCCATAACGCGGGTCGCCGGGTCCTCCTCCGCTGCACTGCCGCCAGCCTGTCCTTTTGAACTTGCCATTCGCACGGGCGTCTCGGACATTACACGGGTCAGCCGTCCGTACAGGCTGCTGATGAGCTGAGTCTGATAGCCCAAGGCCAGGACATGCTGGGAAAGAGCGGGCTGCTCCTGGTGTGAGCAGGGCGCGAAAACAGTGTGGTGAATTAAGAGTTGATTAATAAGAAATGGCGTCCCGCATGGGAATTACATAGGTATCCCTTTCTCGACATACTGCGGTATAAGAGGACGAAAAAGGTGAGGTACAGCAAAAGTAAGTAAAAATCGTACGTTACAGAGATACGTCCAACCACAATATCAGTTCGTTGTTGGAAGTCTTACTCTGAAATGGGGCCGTATTCCCGAACGCATCAACAGCATGGTTCTAATGATCTACCATAGCCATCAAGATCACCTACGAACCAACCGATACTATAAAAAATAACTATCCCTTACCCAAACACATCCAAAGAGCACTTTTTGGTTATCATCAACACACACAACCATAAAAACAAACACAACAGCAACATCATCCTCATCATCGTCATCGTTACCCTCATCATCATCATCATCATCATCATCATCATCATCATCATCACCATCGATAACAACATATTCACAGATCTCTTGGGGGTTCTATTGGTTTAGAGGTTAAGGTGCTCGTTTCTCATTCAATAGGTCCCGGGTTCGAGTCCGGATACCGACAGAAAAATGTTCTCCTTTCACATCCTTTCCTGCTCTCTAACAATGTTCTATCGTCTGCTTTCGTCTTCACTTTCTGCCTCCACCCCTCACCTCCTTTACCCCCTCCTCTGGGCTCCTGACTCTTTCTGCAGTCTTTCTACTACTGCTACTCCTTGGCTCCTTCTGATTTCTGTCTTTCAGCCACACCTCTGAATCTTATGGTAGGTAAGAACTACACCTAGCCTTCTCGGAAAACGGCGAAAAATCTCGGAGGTCCCGTATGCAAGTTGCGCACGTTAAAGATACCCGATAAGATTAAGCTTTGGCCGCCTCACGAGCAAAATTCAAATATTCCGGCCTTGAAACGCTTACAAAAGAAATCTCTTTGTGTGGCCACTGTTAGAGTTATTCAACACCTGTCGGCGTGATACAGATGAGGAGAATTCCGCTTGACTTTGAGATGGTAGGAATATCCGAGCAATCTTGGAAACTTAACAACACTTTAACAAATATTCTCACGGTTTGCAGACAGGTCAACTTTTCAAAATAACTTCCGTTCCATTCAACCTTATTTCAGGAGGTCAATAGCGCGATATGTTTCGGTCAGTGCTTCACATCAATTCTATGGCCAGCGGGCAACTTTGCCACAGTCAAGAACATAGGATTTTAGTATTGCACACCTGTCTATCTACTATCTATCTGTCTGTCTATCTATCTATCTATCTATCTATCTGTCTGTCTTTCTGTCTGTCTGTCTGTCAGTATGTCGGTCTGTCGGTCTATATTACCAAATCGATCACTACTAGGCGACAGCGCACACATTGTCAAGCACTGGTAATAATAGGAATACTCTTTAATTTTAGTAACCGTTTTACGACACTTGCAACACAATAAGGTCATGTAAGTGCCGAAGATTAGAGGTGTTACAAGAGAATAACACAGAAAAAGGGAGAGGAGGTGAGATCAGAACGTTTGAGCAAACCACACCATAGCACTCGCCAACAATTCACAAACGAACTCTTTGTTCCAATGCAACGTAGCCAGTTACAAACGGTGCAGATGTGTAACATTTTTAACACATACACACCTATGGCAACTGGAGAAGTGACAGATACTTCGACAACAATGGGCAAATGAAAAGAAAATAGGGGAAAGGAAAGAAGGGAACAAAGAATTGCTGCTACATCTTGTAAACATAAATCCATAGTCAATGTAAAATTATGTAGACAGCTTTTTGGTAAGTAAGCAATTTACGGCACTTGCAACACAAATAGGTCATATAAGTGTCGAAGAATAGAGGTGTTACTAAAGAGTAACATACCCCCCACCCCCCGAAAAAAACCCAGTTAAGAACGATAGATGTTTGATAGCAACGAAAGAGCAAACCACACCAGCGTACCCACCAACCCCCTTAGTTAATATATGAAGGTCAAACTTCAATAACAGTGAAGAAAAGAAAAGAGAGAATTACTTCTACATCGTTGTAAAGACACGTCCACATTCTATGATTGTCTAAGTATGTAGACAGAGACGGAGGCGTTCTGGTGGTGAGGCATAATTTATTAATTGGCTTCCTCACCTGGCTCACGCTGAGATATGAGCCCGTTAATCTGAAAGCTAAATGACAGCCCATGAGTATTCTCTTCTCTTTCTTTTTATACAGCACTTCTCAAAGTTCTTGAGTTTTCGTAGGAGTTTTACGACACTTGGAATGCAACACAATAACTTCATAGAAGTGCCGAAGATAAGAGGAGTTACAAGCTAGTAACAAATACAAAAAACGACGGAGGAGAGAAAAGGAAGACATGTTTGATAGGAAAGACGGAGTACACCACACCAGAGCACCCGCAAACCACCCAGACTCATCGAGTCTTTTTCTTTTATCTAATACTGCACTTCTTAACGTTCGTCCTAGCTGTTCTCGCGAAATCAACCGGACGAAACACAGAGAAACATTTTTGTTCTAAAAATGTTTAAATAGTTTTATTCACATAAAACTGTCTGAAAATGTCCAAAGACCCTCTTCATTAAAATATCAAAAGAAACTATGTAATATCAATAAAAATTGCACCATCATTGGCAACAATATCACTTTTTTGAACAACAGAAACAATCAAAAACAAAGACAGAAGTAACAATAGTAATATCATTAACAACAACAACAACAACATCCGTCGGTGGCATCTCTTGGGGAGGATTCAGGGAGGTTGGACTGCCTCACCCGCTACCCAAGGGAGGCGGTGGCCCTGGCGAAGAGCACGCTCTTCGGGGCACCGAACATTTCGAACGGGTAGGCTACCACACACATACACACAACAACAACAACAACAACAACAACAACAACAACAACAACCCAGAAGGACGTGGTGACTCTGGCGGGAAGCGCTCTTCTCGGGGGGGGGGGGGGGGGGGCTCTCGTGGCCTAGAGGTTAAGGTGCTAGCCTCTCATTCAAAGGTCCCTGGTTCGAATCCGGGTAGCGACCGAAAATTTTCTTCTCTAAAATTGTCTCCTTTCACCTCCTTTCCTGCTCTCTAGCAATGTTCTGTTGTCTGCTTTCATTTCCACTTTCTACCCCCACCCCCTCACCTCCTTTGCCCCTTCCTCTGGGCTCCTGACTCTTTCTGCAGCCTTTCTACTGCTACTCCTTGGCTCCTCCTTACTGCTGTCTTTCTGCCACACCCCCTGATCTTCTGGTAGGAAAGATCTACACCTAGCCTTCTCGGACAAGGGCGAAAAATCTCGGAGGGCCCGTGTGCAAGTTGCGCACGTTAAAGATCCCTAGGTGGTCTAAAATCGATAAGAGTAGGCTTCGGCCGCCACCCGGGCAAAATTCAAAATTTCCTACCAACTGAAAATATTAGGAGTGTCCCGCGCGCTCATATGACCTATGCAGTTGCGAGCGCCGTAAAACACTTTACAAAAACAAAAAACAAAAATCTTCTCGGGGTGGCAGATACGTGCAAAGGAGACAATAATAACCAGAACAACTGGCTTTGTTGTCCTCAAAACCCGTTGGCCACACACATACATAAACACACAAAAACATACACACATATATACACACAAAAACACATACACCACACACACACACACACACACATGCGCGCGCGCGCGCGCGCGCCGCATACCATCATCATAAACATTAAAAAGAAAAACACAACCGACAACAATATTATCAACAACTAAGAACTCTTTGCGGTCATTGGAGCAGTGGGAGTTTTCTTGCTCTTTTTTACTCGGAATGTCTCCCACCCCTTCCTGTGTTTACGTAAAATGTCCATTCGTTTCTTCTTCAAAGAATTTAATAAATAATATAGTACTAGAGCTGGTGGCAGTGATATCCCCATGGCCGTATGCCCCCAATTTACAATATTAACATAAGCCCCTACCCCTCTCCTCAAGAGATCTAGAATTTCAATATTAACAAACCCCTGCCACCACATTTCAGGGCACGTTTGCAAATTTCCCTCAAGACCGTCTGCACGTCTCCGCGTGTCTCGAAAAGTACATTGTACTTCTGTTGAACTGCATTGGTTCTTGCATCAACGCTCAGCATCCCAGAAAGGGCACACGCAGCCCCCGTTCGTTTACGTTGGTGACGTCATTTTCACAATATCTAGTACTATAATACCTTTTGTGTGTGTTTAGTCTTAACAGCCAACAAATAATATTTCAAAATCCGCACCTGCAGTTTTACATGCAACTATGTTCTGACTAGATTCTAGCCAAGCCTAGTTGTGATCGAAGAAGCAGAAAACACCTTTCTTACTAAGTCACATAATGTTATGTCGGTCGTCACACCACATACTGAGAGTTGGACTTAATATTTATACAAACGTATTTTTCAAATGTTTAGTCTCAGCAGATAACAATTGACGTTATACATCAAAACCTGATTTTTTGTAATTTCACATTCAATTATGACAAGATTCAAACCAAGCCTTATGTGATCCGACAAGCTGAAAATACCCTTATTACTTCAAGCGATAAATTTAACTTTCTTTGTTAGTTGATAAGTCGGTCGTTACACTCTCATGGTATGGCATAACTCACTTTTTGTGTATGTCTAGTTATTACAACAAACAACCTTGTATTACATAATCTATTAATGTTTATATCTAGACGTAGAAACCAACAAATACTATTGTATTACAACCTGAATTTGCAGTTTTAGGAGCAACAGAGCACTGACTGAACTTTAACCAGGCTAAGTTGAGTTTTTTTTTAATCCGTTGTTATGTCAGTCATTACAATTGCCCAGTTGTAACCACCAACGCACTATTGTGTTTCATTATAGGTGTAAGCATTTTATAAGCTTCAATGTTTACTAAAAAGATAAAGGAATCTTTATTTCTTTGTTCTTCTACTGTTTTGATTAACTTGCCAGATCGGTCGTTACACTCTTAGTATCAATTATAAAGTAAAAGCTTTTGTCTACGCCCAGTTTTGACTAACTTGTGCGGTCGGCCGTTACAGATTTAGTATTGGTTACAACTGAACAGATGTTGGCCATGCCTAGTTGTAGCCACCAACACACTATTGTGTTTTATTATAGGCGCAAGCATTTCATAAGCTTCTTCTTAATAATAATAATAATAATAATAATAATAATAATAATAATAATAATAATAATAAATAGCATTTGTATAGCGCATAACCCCGCTCGACAGCACGCTCTATGCGCTTTACACTATATTATTACCCTAGCACACCATAGAACACTCAGAAACATTCTCAGCTTCCCGGGAAGCATACTTCAGTGCAAGCAGCTGATTAAGCGCTCAAACACAAACAATTTGACAAGATCTTTCACTGTCTATAGCTGAGTACCCATTCCCATCTGGGTGAAGTGAGGAAAACCCGTGTAAATAGCCTTTCCCAAGTACACAACGTCGGGTCCCTGACAGGATTCGAACCCACGACCTTTCGGTAGCGAGTCCGAGAGCCTAACCACTAGGCCACCGACGCCACAGTATTCCGTAACAAGACTAAACTCTATCCAAACCTAATTGGCTTTAAAAACCTTGAAACCATCTTTATTTCTATGTAAATAATGTTTTGACTAACTTGTGCGGTCGGTCGTTACACTTTTAGTATTGGTTACAATTGAAATTTTTTGGTCTATGTTGAGTTGAAGCCACTGCAACACTATTGTGTTTTATTATAGGTACTAGCATTTCATAAAATTCTTTACAAGGCTAAACTCTATCCAAACTAAAGTGGGCTTTAAAAACCTTGAAACAATCTTTATTTCTATGTAACTCTAATGTTTTAACTAACTTCTGCGGTCGGTCGTTACACTTTTAGTATTGGTTACAATTGAAAAGATTTTGTTCGTGCCTAGTTGTAGCCACCAGCACACAATGGTTTTTTATTATAGGTGTAAGCATTTCATAAGCTTCTTTACAAGACTAAACGCTATCAAAACCTAATTGGCTTTAAAAACCTTGAAACCATCTTTATTTCTATGTCCCTCTATTCTGTTGAATAACTTGTGTGGTCGGTCGTTACACTTTTAGTACTGGTTACAATTAAAAAGATTTTGTTCGTGCCTATAGTTGTAGCCACCAACACGCTATTGTATTTTATTAAAGGTGCAAGCATTTCATAAGCTTCGTTACAAGGCGTACCTCTATCCAAACCTAAAAACTTTGAAACCATCATCATTTTTAAGTCCCTGTAATGTTTTGACTAACTTGTGCGGTCGGTCGTTACACTTTCAGTATTGGTTACAATTGAAAAAAAAAAAGGTATTTGCCGAGTTTTAGCCACTGCAACACTATTGCATTATATTAAAGGTACTTGCACTTTATAAGATTCTTTACAAGGCTAAACTCTCTCCAAACCAAAGTGGGCTTTAAAGACCTTGAAACCATCTTTATTTCTAGGTAACTCTAATCTTTTGACTAATTTGTGCGGTCGGTCGTTACACTTTTAGTACTGATTACAATTGAAAAGATTTTGATCGTGCCTTGTTGTAGCCACCAGCTCACTATTGTGCTTTATTATAGGTGCTAGAATTTCATAAGCTTCTTTACAAGGCTAAAGGCTATCCAAACCCAAGTGGGTTTTAAGCACCTTGAATCCATCTTTATTTCTATGTCCCTCTAATGTTTTGACTAACTTGTGCAGTCGGTCGTTACACTTTTAGTATTGGTTACAATTAAAAAGTTTTTGAGAGTCCATGTTTAGTTGTAGCCAAGACGGAATAAGACAAGACGGGACAACTCTTCTTTACGTCATGTGACAAGCGCAGGCCCCTCCCACTTTTGCTGCTGCGCGTATAACTCGCTGGAGTGGCGATAGTTTACATTGGTTACAATGCAAGGCTACTGATCATCTTGGGCGGTATGTCTAGCCAAGGCCTACTAAAATTAATATATTTTAGCCCAGAGAGAGAGAGAGAGAGAGAGAGAGAGAGAGAGAGAGAGAGAGAGAGAGAGAGAGAGAGAGAGAGAGAGAGAGAATTTAATGAATAAACGTAGCCTATCTAGATATAGATCTAGAATCTAGGATCTAGAACCTAGGCTCTAGATCTAGACGGTCTCGATTTTGTTATGCACCCAGCCAAGCCAAGAGTGTGCAGTTCGGAAAGTAGATCTAGATCTAGGCCTCTAAGTGGTTGGCGAATGACCGAAGGGCGACTCTTGACAAGCGGTATGACTGTGAATTGGCGGAGACGCTCTAGATCTATATTATGCAACTTGATTCATACTATCATATCAACAGTAGATAGAGCCTAGATCTACTTAAGCTTCTGTGCTAGTTTCAATGGCTTCTTTTTCGGTGCACCTGTACAATTATGGTTCCGTTTAATGTTTACATGACGGCCATTATTGTCATGTGGGAGTGAATCTATATCGAGATCGAGATCTAGATTTAGATCTAGATCTAGATATCTCTAGATTCTATCTAGATTCTATCTAGATCTAGATAGCCAAGATAATCTATTTCTAGATCTAGCACACAGCTAGATCTATCTAGATCTAGATCTTGATTAGATCTATAATTTTAATTCAGTTTAGATCTACATCTAGATCTAGATCTAGATTCTAGATATCTATAATCTAGGCCTAAATCTAAATAGGAAACACGTAAAAATTACTACAGGGGCACTTAGGCCTTGAGTGATTTAATGCAAACGGGACCGCTATTATACAGGAGTGCCATTGTTTCTTAGCTTCAGTTCATGATAATTGATTCTGACATTAGGGAACAGCTCGCTGTGTAGTTAATCTAGATCTAGATCTAGTCAACAGTTAGGTTGCTGGACTCTAGCAGTGGCCGTATCTTCAGTTAAAAAAATATCCATTCTATTGTATATTCTGTTAGACAACAGTTCATTGCAGAGCACCACTGGCTGTTCTGTCTTTTTTAAACTGTAAGATCTAATCTACTTCTACGTTTCGTATACTCCTAGATCTACATTATCATGTCACTGAACATGTTCAACCCACTGCTGTTTTCCGTTTATAAAAACCTTAAATTTCTCAACTCACTATATTCAAAATGTGAACAAAAACCAGTCAAAAAATATACCAAACAGTTTATATGAAAAAAACCCCAAGGCAAAAACTGCCATTATGAAATTCAAAGTAGGCAGCTATTTCAGCGAGTTGAACAGTGTGCTCTTTCTCCCTGTCGTTTGTTTACGCTTTAAACGCGCAGCTAGCTGGTTACCAAGGAGAGCCAGTTGGAACGAAAATGATGCTGTTGTCCCGTCTTGTCTTATTCCGTCTTGGGTTGTAGCCACCACCACCACCACCACCACCAACAACAACAACACCAACAGCAGTAAAAAAAACAGCCCTTACAACAACACCAAAAAACGACAAAACGAAACCAAACGACGTACCATCGACCGCGCCACCAAACGTCCGAGCGACGTAAAGTCAACCAGACACGTTTGTAGAGAGTTCAGAAGGAGGCCCGCTTCAGTCTTCACGTCAGACACAAAAGTCCGCCCAAGTCTTCCCGCACTCTTCCTCATCTCCTCTCGGCCCGAGGGAAGGCACAGGATCTCCAGAACCGGCTGTACCAGAGCGGCTATACACAGACAGCCGGCCGTAGAGGTGGAGTAGGAGTCAGACGAGACGCTCTTCTCAACCATTACGCGGGCTGCAATATAGGAGACAATAACTACAGTAGAACCTGACCTGCTCTAACGGTCACCTGTACAAGGCAATCAACGGTACAAAAGACCACTTCCCATTTCTTCCCTCGTGTTTGTTTATGTGTATGTGTGTGTGTGTGTGTGTGTGTGTGTGTGTGTGTGTGTGTGTGTGTGTGTTTTAACATTTTAATGACACGGTGTAAGAGTAAGGAGGCTGTCTATTAGAAGTCAATGCCGACTGTATTTTGAAGATGGTTTGAACACCTTATTGGCGGTAGGTACGCGGCTGCAACTGGTAGATTTTATTTCTCTTCTTTCCCTAAATCGAGCCTGTAAAAGACGACCAACCACTGTCGAGGAAAAAAGTGGTCATCCTAGACAGGTGGCCCTCTTATATAGTGAATCTAAATAATGTTGGTGTTTTTATATTCCCAAAGACACATTTTAGATCATTAAGGAGGTGGACTTCGAACCTGTCCGTTGGGGGCCAACCTTTTGTTTTAGTAGTAGAGGTTTTACGGCGCCCGAAACTGCATAAGGTTATATGAGCGCCAAGGGGTGGATGTCAACAGAGACACCTTTACAGGGAATCAGGCTTACTCTGCTCACTTCTCTAGCTTCAACAGCACAAAGTCTGCTTCGACTATCAAGGCACCCCGGAAATAGCGGGTCACAAGAGAGTGACAAAATTACAAAAGAAGTAGAGGGAAAAGGACGATAGTAAGGATGAGGAAAGAAAAAGCAACAGTTCCCAGTTATAGTTCATGCTCAGTTATGAGCGTGACATTGTTGAATCAGCCCATTTATAATTCTATTGTGCATAAGAACGAGAAATTTCCCCCCTTTGGGAATGGCCTAACGACACTTCAGTCAGTGGCACTGCCCCGGGGGGTTGGGGGCTAACCTGGACAGAAAGGGATAACATTCCCTCCAGAAAGACAAAGAATCGTCTGCCTGCAGGCAGAGAAACGAACACAAAAGTGTCGTAACAATTCACTCTTTTTTATCTACAAACATTTCGCTGCGTAGTTTGCGCCCAATGGATGGCGCTTAAATGAAGGGCAAACCACCAGTCTCGACACAGCTGAGTACACGGGACACCTTTCTTCTTCCCCCCAAAAACAACAACAAAACAACAACAACAACAATTAACCCCCCCCTCC